ATAAAGGTTTAATTTAATAACGCGTGTTGCCTCCATGGGCATCTACCACAGCTCTCATACGATAAGGCATAGAGTTTATCAACCGCTCTATGAAATTTTGAGGGATCATCTCCCATTCCTCTTCTATGGCAGTTTTCAACTCCTGCATCGTCTGGGCAACTGGCTGACGAGCCCTAACACGTCTTTTTAGCTCGTCCCACATGTGCTCAATGGGGTTCATGTCTGGGCTTCTGGCTGGCCAGTCCATAACTGTGATGTTCACATCTCGAAGATATTCCCTGACGATTCCGGCCGCATGGGCTCTTGCATTATCATGCATAAAAAGGAAATTATGGCCCACATAGTCCGCGTATGGTATCACGTGAGGTTCTAAGCACTCACGAATGTACCTTTCAGCATTAAATGTTGGCAGCCGTGGTCCTGTAACAACCTCAAGTTGAGTTTTGCCGCTCGCGGATATACCGCCCCAGACAGTCCATGAGCCACCGCCATAAGCAACCCTCTCTTTAAAGCAGCATTGTGCGAAACGCTCTCCCTTACGTCGGTAGACCTTCTTCCTTCCATCATTGCCATGTAACACAATTTTAGACTCATTAGAAAAGAGTACACGGCTCCAATCTTGCTGTGTCCAATTTAAATGACTGCGTGCGAAATGAAGGCGCGCTGTTCGGTGGGCTCGCGTTAGTTTGGGCCCATTAGCTGGCTTGTGTGGTACCATATCGCGTTCTTTTAACCTTTTCCGAACAGTTCGAGCGCTCACAGATACTCCGTGGAAGTCGCGAATTGGTATTTGTATCTCAATGGAGGTAAGGTGACGATTTCTTAAGCTGGTCGTCACGATGAATCGATCCTGCCTTTCAGTTGTGACCCGAGATCGTGGCCTTCCTTGGCGACGAACAAAGCCGCCAGTCTCTAGGTACCTTCGATAAATATTTCGGACCGCAGATTGACTTAAATTAAGTTGAGCACTCACGTTTCTTTGGCTGTGTCCGGCCTGAATAAGTGCCACAGCTTGGGCGGCGACTTCAGGTGAAGTATCCATAGATTACTGATAGAATCTCACCTTAATGTTAAAAATAAGTAATGTTTGTTGCAAAACCAAAGATATCAATCACTTTTTCAAGAATTAAATCCAAGTAAACCAATAAAACCAAGTTTTCTTAGTATTCGATTGTTTGATATCAACAAACAGGCTCCAAATTGTCTTTTGTTTCTTTAAATTCTGTGTTCGAAATTCAAAAAAAGACTATTGAATAAAATTGTAAATGTGCCAGGTTCAAAACTGCATAAAAACTTTTTGCTCGACCTAATATAAAATTTTAGCTAGGACCAAACGAAACTGAAAATACAAGGTGGGCCAATAGATGTGTCCAGAAGTGTATATTACTCTTTTTTGAGCAGTCGTGTAACAAACAGGGTAAGCAAAATAAAACAGTGAAAGTATTTTTTTTATTTATTCAGTTTCTATAAAGAATCCGATTCATTGAGATCAGTTATTCTAAGTAAAATAATTATCACCAGCATTTCTCGATATCTTAAATATAAATAAATAAATATTTCCAACACTCGCACCAATTAGCCTAGCCCCAAAGTAAGCACTGTAAGGCTTGTGTTATTGGATACTTGAGTAACGGATAGAATACATATACTGTACATATTTAAGTATATTTATATAGAAATACATATTAAACATCCATGACTGGATTACAAATGCTCGTATTCATCACACAAACATCTGCCCCCACCGGGTTTCGAACCCGTACAAACCACTCGGCTATGGAGGTCATCAAAGTATTGAGTTGCTGAATCTAACAGTCGCTTAATATCTAAATATCAATCATATTATTATTCACACGATATTATTTCATTGACATTCTACAAAATGACCATAATGCTCAAAGAAGCTTCTCTATATCCATCCTATACAATGTCGTCATCACAGAAAATTATCGGTATTGCCGGAATGAGTCAAAGTCGATGTATGAGTCATGCATCCTCTCACTCGATTGTAATTTTACTCATCCCTTGTGCACAGTGATTCATCGGATTGGATATGAAATTCAAGCATAAACATAATGCTTTCCTATAAAACATATGGCATTCCTTCAGGCTTGTTTTAACTAAATTCCTACCTGATTTTATTAAAAAAAAAAAACTTGTAATAATCTCAAGTTCACCCTATTACTCTATAATCAAAAACTCGAAATAAATGTTAAACTTACTTCTTACATATAGTACAGAAGCCTGATGAAAAAATCCTTTGTTGAAAATGTTTTTTAAACATCTTGTTTAACTTGGCTACAAATATGTAAGAAAAGTATTCAAAGACTGTCTCCCTCACTCCCCAACACTTGGAAAATAGTACGAAAATACCACCAAGGCTTCACCAGAATTTAAAAAAAAAACAAGCTTTCGGCGTGTTAGGAAATACTATATTGCGAATCCTATGTCTGCTTAATATTGATGAAATGGCAATACGCCAACAAAGTATATTATGGAATGGAAATAAAAACATTAACACTCGTCAACTATAGAATTGAATCTTTGGACACCAATCGGATTGCATCGCAAGTGTTCGTAATGATGCTTGTATGTGTAAATCGAAATTGCCTGTTGGTTCCTTTTTTGTTAACGGAATGGGTTCTGAAAATCGATCAAAATAAATTAAGATCTGCTTAACTGGTGTTGGGAGGTTTGGTGTCGATGTCGTTGCTCTGACCTTTGATGGTTGCTCATTAAATATCAATCATCAGCTAACTTATTGGGATGTCAATTTTCTGGCATTGCTAATTTAAAGACTACTTTTAATCCATCTTGTAACAATGATGCTGTTTTCCTAGATATATGTCATAAGGTTAAACTTGTTAGGAATAGTTTTTCAGGAAATTACTAGTCTGTTTCCAAGGATACGTACATTTAAGCAAAAATTCACCATATTGTTTTGAAATGGTTGTAACAAAACAATCTTATGGTGGGTCAGAAGAATCAAATTGGCTGATCATGCAAAGTTTCTAACAAATGTTATATTTTATTTTTATTTTATATGTTCATTAATGTGCAAATAAATTTAACTTCATTATTTTTTGTCTTTTTGACATGCTTTTGGGTGAATGGGCTGTTTTTGTGTTAGTAATTCAAACGGACGTTCAGATACTTTTTAGTATTATAATAGCTCGTATTAGTTGCAGTCTATGATTGAGTGTAGGAGTTTGATTCATGGAATGGTCAAACAAGGTATCGATAACATTGGTCTGCAAAAACTGTTTTAAAAATTCTTTATTGTAATCGCTTAAAGTCTTGAGAATTACTAAAGCAGCGGCCATTTTATTTGACGGATTTCTTAAAATTAATTCTAATTTTAAGCTAATCAAAAATACATCATGTAACGCAAAACACAAACCACCTTTATATTTAAGAGTGACGATTTTTCATTTATTTATAGCTAAGTAGGCAAAAGACTCTACCGCACCTTATGTTAAGTTGTGATAAAGTCCAAACGCGAAGATAGCTGGTACAGCAGTTATAAACTGCCACACCGACTATCCTCATCTTGTCGGCCTGCAAAAATGCTTCTTCACACCTCTCTTAAAGGACCCGAGATTGTAGGAATGAGGGAACACGTGCGCGGGCAAAGAATTCCACTTGCACGAGTTTTAATAAACCATAACTTTTCATTGGTAAAGAGGCACAACATGTTTCACATTTTAAAGTTTCACAGTGTTTGCTAGATACCCAACTTGAAATATATCCTTTTATTTGTTCCACATTACACGAGTGATCATCGTCATTCAGTAATCTGTAATCTGAATCAAATTTTCATGAAGAGCCCGCCCGTCGCATGTGTTATTTATGTCTTTTACTGCTGATGAGTAATTAAGAATTGGAAAATATTCTACCGGTATACAAAATGATTATCATAATTCCCAATGATTAAACATTTTTTTTATTAATATCTTTAAATTGTGCTTTGATTTATTATTATACCCTCCGTGTCGACATATATCTCCGAACAATATTATAATATGATCTTGACTGAACCTATATGTAAAAAAATGTAGCTCATTCTTTTCTCATTTTGAACAAGAGACGTATATAAATATTTAATTAAAGCTTTCGATCAAATGGAAAATTCTAAAATGACCGGTTTTAGATTTTACCTGCACAAGCCTATTTTTAGTTATTTTCATAAATACTTGTCCACTTCGGTTGATTCTGGTTTTATTGTAAATGCGCAATTCTAGTATAAATTTTTTGGCCCTTTCTAGGAAATCAAGTATTACTTCCACATTTCCTGGACTAACAAGCTTTTTAAAACCAAATTTGTCACGAGCTCTCGAATTAAGGATATTAAAAAATTCATCAAATAATATTATGAAATCTTTAGTGAGACCCGAATCTTTAAATTTTGACGAATGAAGTGTATCTTCGCAAAGTTGCAAAGCATTTGCGACGCCTCTGCTTAAAAGCTGTGTGGCTATATTGACTTTCATAATTTCATTACGAGAATTTCGATTCCGTTATTCGAAATCAGCCCGTGTATTTCCACTCTTTTTTATTACTCAGGGCGGTGTCGGGCTGACTGCTACCTAGCTTTTCATTTCGGGCGGTGCGGTATATATAAAAAAATATTAATAACATTATCTTACCGAATAATGTCTGATGAATTAATGGTTAATATTTGTTGATTGAGTAGTCGTACCTGCGGATCTCGATGGTGAATGGCAGTGTCCAGGAAAACCATAGTCTTGCCTATACCCTCATATTAATAAAGAAGGGATGGGTTTCGACTAGTTACGCCATGTTTTGTTCATGTCACTCATATGGTATTTGTCATTCGATGGACAGAGACAAAACATGAAGTAACTAATCCAAACTAATTCTTCGTTCATTAATAAGGGGGATAATGTATTTTTTTAATAAATATATGAATGTAATTCGAGATAGGTAACTTTATTAAATAAAATATTACTTATCTTATTTCATACACAAAGACACAAGGAATGACAGGTAATCATAAGGTAATAGTAACATTACATCATTGTTACTGACATGAATATTTTTCAATTATAAAATAATAAATCGCAGATATGCTAAATGAGGAACCGTACTGAATATGGCTAATAACATTTAAATAAATCAAACAGAACGACATAACATAAATTACAATAACATTTACAGATTTCAAACTTTCGTTTAACTTTATTACTTAATCATCTTGACTCGTCCGAGCATTTGGCATTCGATACGTCATCCATAAATCATCCATTAAGTATAAAGAAAACTTCAAAGGTGGTCGCTCAGAGATGGCGTTAGTTGTCGCCAGCGGGTGTGCGACCATCGAGCGCACGCGCAGCGTTTCCCGGAAATGGTGGTTGTCGGCCATTTTGTAACAGCGTCCGTGTGACTCGAGCTAGCTGCGCGAGACCACAAAATGGATAATACAGAAGGCAAGCATAGACATCATTCATGGACACGATATCTCGGAACCGTTTGAGACCACTGCGGGTGCGAGTACCATTCGATCGAGACAGGCGTCTGTGAACTTCTCTGTGCAAAAATGGGACACCAAAAATAGTTATTATAACTGTTCAATGGACGGTTGCTTAAATTAAAAACAGTGTATTGTCGTTTTTTTAGTTTGAAATATAACAATGACATTATTATTGAAATGTTAATATTAGTTTTTAAATCCATTCTTCCTTTTTCATTCATAACAATAATCAAACAACTAGATACATATGCCGCTACCCCGATAGTTTTTTTGTGCATAAGCCAAAGTTGACGATCTTAGTGTAACCGCCGAGCGTAGATATGAAAAATGGTCTATCCCACATAACCTCGTCGCACTCCCAAGCCAGTGGGCTAAGCGTCACGCATTTTTCTGATAAACTAAATAAAAAAAAGGTAAGAAAAGTGAAGTACGTACACGAGTTTGACTTCTGTACGATCTATTTTGTGGTCCGTGTGAGTGGAAGCTAGCTGCGAGACGCGTACCGTATCTCTACCGCGCGGAATGCTGTAATCGCCACTTGATAACGTTAGTTTACAATTAGTTAACGACGCGTGACGTGACTTTAAAAGCTAAAAGTGGTTTCACGTATTACGGCTGTGTTTTTATAATGCATCTCTTAATAGATATAATGTGAATTAAATGAGCTATAACGTTTTCCTTAATTGGAAGCGTATTATGGATTATATTACTTGTTGAATGCTACATACTTATTATTAACATACTTATTATCAGATAATTCACGCCCCTAACACATTACAGTCCCCGTAGCACTTAGATTTGTTCAACAATATCTAAACAATAATATTGAAATGATCTCTAATTGTAATAATCATTTAGGTAAATTAAAAAAGGTTCCTACAATTGCTCTTTCTGTGTCATCTCATCGTATGATTATAATTTCAAAATGAACACACTAAAATAATCTAAGCAACACGCATCATTTATAGAAAATGTATGTTTTATTAATTAATGTTTAATTTCGAAAATAGTAGATTAGTATACAATATTTTTTGTTCTCGAAAATATGATTGCCGGATTTTAGAATAGAAACTTTATGATCGTGTTTATAATAGTTTAGTATAAATAGTACATGTTAATAAAATTGTAAAAATCCTCCAAAATTTAAAAACTGTACAACGTGTTGCTTAGATTTTTTTGATAAGTATATATTAAAGATAAGATAACTCTTTATTACACCAACAAAGATACAGTATATAATACAATTTAAAATAACCTAGAGTACTCTTTTAGTGTGCCCATTTTATTCTTTGTAATCTCCCAGTTCCCGTGTATCATGCACCCTATCTTTGTTGAGGCATGGGGCGCTTGCATTTTATTATTATTAATCTGTTTTGATGCTATGAAGGTCATTGTGTCTGACTTTGAGTATTGGCGACTTCATTCGTAAGTAACAGTTATTTAAAGTAAAAATATTAAATAAACTAGTATTGCATTGCTTTCACATTCGTCGTCGTCGTCGATCTCAAAGACTGTTCAGCGATAAAATTCACAAAAAAACCAATCAATTCTAATGTTAACTGTCAATTGATTTGCTGAAAGCCTAATCGACTAATCATCGTATCAGTTGCATTTTGGGTTTCTAGTACATATTTTCTTATCTACGTTTCAGGAACTCAAATTGATGTAAAGGTGTTATTAAACTGACAGGGATGTTAGTTGGCGATAAAATGCCATTTAATTACACAACCCATGGAGTATTTTAGAAATTACAATTATTTTAAGCACTTTCTATCGTAGAAGATATAGGCACGGTTTGAAGATGGCTACTATGAATTAATTTGATCTTGATCCCCTAAACTACTTTGCATCCTTTTTTTTCTTTCATTCTTTCTGACTCCACGCAAGTTTACATCAGGTTCAATGAAATATGGTACATAGGTAATTAGGTACTATCTATTATTACTAAAGTCTTCGTTGTAAATTAACAAATAATAAACATTGCCTTTATAAACTGTCAACTACTTTTAACATTAACAGCATAGGACATATACAAATAATAAATAAATAATATTTTTTATTGCACGGATAGAACATACACCGATAGCCAAAACAAAATCCAACGACCTTCCATAAATTTTGTCTAGTCAAAGTGCAAATTAATCTTTGCCTTCTTCATACAAACGGCATTAAACTTTCTCAACACTTTATTGTGAGCCCCTTATCCCCCCTTGTTTGCGGCGTGACGGTTGATCGATCTGAGCCGAGACGTTAACGCGCAGGTAAGCCGTCCTGTGAAACCGGTTCCCTCGAATAAAGCTGAACACCGGTGCGCGCGAGTTAAAAATAATTTTACGACGGACGACGACGGATACTCCTAAGCAGCACGTAGGCACTCGACTCGCGCGTCCTTCAGGTTTTGTCCGAATGCGTTATTATTAAAGCGTTTTAATGCGAATGTTGGAAAATATGGCTAATCTCTGACTACAGAAATTTAATAGAAAAAATAATGATAAAATTAGTATCATACCAAGTTTATTTATTTGTGGTTTTGGACTCTGCAGATCCTGAAGTAACTAGTAACCTTTATATGATCTATTGTGACTCGCCTTCACTTCTAGCATTTCGTTTAGCCTAATTGCATCCAAGAAACCGATACATTACCAAATATTCTTTAATTTGGCAATATATCGGTAAAAGCACATTTGATTGAACTTGATGTTGTCACTTTCTTCGTCATTAACTTAGGGGATAACAACAGTGATGCCAGAACGTCCCAAAAGGGACGATTTTCGTCCCTTTTCTCAGCAAAGCGTCCCATCGATGTCCTTTTACATATTCCGTCCCTTTTCCGTCCGTTTTTGATAACGCTTCACTGCAACATTAGACGAATGCGTTTCGTTTCACTCATTGATTTATTTCACTAAATTGCCATCACTATTCGTTGTACATTGTCAACTCTATTCGTCAAATCACCCAGTAAACTACATCGAATCCAACGCTCGCTACGAAGGTGACGTTTAATAAATACCTACCTATATCTATATACCAACTCAAGGCTCAAACCCAATAACCTACCATATCTTACCTAATAAAACTTTTGTTGTTGAGGTATGTTTCAGTTATGAAGATAATAGGTAAGTTAAGAATAAGTGCTTGCTTTGTAGAGTCGTAAGAACGTACGGTACGTTCGTACCACCATGATGTACCTATGTCCTCCGTACCATCTTCATTATGTTTATTGTGTGCCCAAAAAATATAATTAATTTGGCTCTGTTAAAATGTTTTTTTAAGTGAAACTTCTTTAGGCACGCCTTGACTTGGGGGGTAAACTGGCGAATTGTTACGATTTCGTGTTACGATTAGTGTCATCGGTGATTCATCGGTAAACAATGAACAATACCTGTAACAAAATACATAAATCTAGTGCTTGGCTTGGTGGGTGATAACGGTCCCAGTGCGGATTGATGGATGATAACGGACCCCGCGCAGATTGGTGGGTGATAACTAGTGGTGTCCCGATTTGAGCGGGATGTCTCGATTTTCAGGGGTGTGGGGACGCGTCCCGATTTGTACCTGATCGGGACGCTAAATATCCCGATTAATCAAAAAATGAGAGTCAGGTAATTAATATAATACTATACTTGCACTAGTAGTTTAAATCGCAATAAATTACCCAGTGCGGATTGGTGGGTGATAATTGACCCAGCACGGATTGGTGGATGATAGCGGACCCAGTGTGGATTGGTGGGTGACAATGGACCCAGCGCGGATTGGTGGGTGATAACGGACCCAGTGTGGATTGGTGTATAATAACGGACCCAGTGCGGATTGTTGGATGATAACGCACCCAGTGCGGGTTGGTGGGTGATAATGGACCCAGCGCGGATGGGTTGGTGATAATGGATCTAGTGCGGATTGGAGGGTGATAACGGACACAGCGCGGATTAGTCGGTGGCAATGGATCCAGTGCGGATTGGTGTGTGAAAATGGACCCAGCGCGGATTGGTGGTTTTTTTCTATCAAATTTCAGATCATTGGAGCTATAGAAGTTTCACTTCAGTCGTGTGTTCCTAAACACACTCGCTTTTTTTTCATTTAACCGCATTATGATAGAACTACCCTTACATACCTATCGTGTTGTGTTGTAACACATCAGAGAGCTATCTCTTTCATACAATTATGGTTAAAGTGAGAACGCTGTCGAAACATCGCGACACACAGGTATAGTTCTTAGTTTAAATGTATGAAGCAGATTGCGCCAGAATAAAACACGTAAGATAAATATAGTTCAGCCTTTAGTTTAATATTTCTGTAGGGCCGTCCTTTTTGACTAAAAATCGTCCCTTTTCAGATTTCGAATCGTCCGAAACACGACGCAGGTACTGGCAACACTGGATAACAACTCGTAACTTAATGAAACATCAAATGTAATTGATGTCTATGAGTGCAGTCGTAAATAATTTGTCTTTATGAAATCAGAATAATAGGAGTACAACAAACACTCAAGACTCGTGGCTCTTGCAAGGCCTTTACCTAAAGTTCCAA